AGGAGAGGGTGAACAAGAGGGGCAACCACGCAGGGAAAGGGGTAATCGGGAGGCAGGGAGATGGCAAGCAAGGATTGGTGACCGGGTGAGTGAACAGGTGATTAGGCTGGGGGAAGGAGGGAGCAAGGGGGTGACTGATCAGGTGAAGGGGCAACTGGGCAGGTGAGCGATTGTGAGTGGAACAGAAATCAGGTGGGCAGGCATTTGGGAGAGCAGTGGTCAAGCACTGACTTTTTTGGCAAGCCCAGTGCTTTTTTTTTTAAAACCATTTCTACTACCTTGTAGCAGAAATTACAGTAGAAGAGACATTTAAATATGTGGAATCGATTACAATGAATCGATTCCACATCTGCCCCAATATACCATATTTGCCGGCATACAAGACGACTGGGCGTATAAGACGACCCCCCAACATTTCCCCTCAAAATATAGAGTGGATGGTTCTGCTGTGGTGCCAGCAGTGAGGCCTGAGGAGGGTGAGGGGTAGGGGAAGCAGCCGGGCAGGTGACGGCAGCAGAGGAGGAGAAGGAGGAGGAGGAGGGAAGCTCTCTGGTGGTGGGTGGGCGAGTGGGCAGCTGGCTCTGCCGGCGAAAGGCCTGAGGAGGGCGAGGAGGAGGGGGAGGGGAAGCAGCTGGGTGGGCGGCAGCAGAGGAGAAGGAGGAGGAGGAGGAGGAGGGGAAGCTCTCCGGTGGCGGGCAGGCGAGCAGACAACTTGCTCAGCGGCGCAGGCGGTGGGCAGCCTGGCAATGGGCTCTGGCCACTCAGGCATGGCTGGCTCTGCTTCCCTCCCTCCATCCGGACCGACCGCCTGCCTGCCCACCTGCCTTCCTCCCCGGCCGGCGTGGCCCTGTGTCACTCATCCAACGGTGGCGGCAGCAGCAGCAGTTCCTTCCTGGCTCAACTCAAGTGCACCCGGCATATAAGATGACACCCCCCCCACTTGGAGGCATGTTTTTTGGGCCAAAAAAGTCATCTTATACGCCGGCAAATACGGTAAATGTACCTCTGGAGCGGGAGCAGAAAAACTGTATGCTAAGATTTAAATTGTGGGTGGTGGTGATTGTTTTTGTTTAGGAAAACCCCGAACAACAGGGATTTTATAGTCAATGGAATTGAGCCTGAGGGGCAAAGTGGACCAAACCTGAGTACTCCCCACAGCAGCATTTTGTTATTGGTCCAAATAATATGATTTGCAGCCAATTTTCATTATGTTTCCTCACTTTTATCAGTTTCGGCACCCATTATCCACATTCCCCAAATCTTAGAGAACTGACACCACAAACATTTGCCTTTCCCCCCTCTATTTCAACTTTCTCCCCCTCTTTACTTTCTGAATTCCTGATCTGCTAGTAGTCCTTGTATCTACTGTAGGTTACAATCTGATAGTATTCTTTCTTTTCTCATTATTATCCATACTACTTAATCATAATTAACATTGGTTCATGAATCATTTAATTAGATCTTTAAATTAATTAGCCCAAATCCTAAATTAAACCTTATAAGATTTAAATCACAAGGTAGACCAGCTGATCAAATGAAGTGGAGCATACATACATAGAATCCTCTATTCACCAAGGAAGTTCATTAGTTACTGTAGTTAAATTAACTGCCTCTCATCCCAACTTAACCCAAGTAAGTTGTTAATCAAAGACCAGGAAATTCCTTACACAGTATTAAAATTCAGACGAGTAGTTGAGACTAGCATCTCAGTGGCTCTATTTAACATTTTTGTTGTTAAGGCTCAAAGATATTCCCTTTTACCATAATGTTTTTGCTCTATCCAAACTCTGGGCCTAACAATGTGTTTTGTTATTCTTACGAATAGCAAACAGTGCACTCCAAATATGCCTACAGTGTTAAATTAAATGTTTGCTTGGGTGCCAGCAGCAAACCATGAAAAGCTTAGTTCTTCTACTGACTCTGTAGCAAAGTTCTGGCTTAGGCAGGTTGCTAACACGAAGAAGTTACAAAGAAGACATTATGTTTTAGTATGAAAAATGGTATTGTCTATCCTAGTACTTTGCTTCTGTGAAATGATCACATGTCCATTTTTGGGTAATCTTCCAATTTGTGTGGCTCAGGGTGCTGTACGCATTTGCTCAGAAGGTCCACTCATTTTACGATGGTAATTATTCCTGAACTAAGATGCAGGATTCACAGTGTAGTATAATCTCCCACTGAAGATGAAGTAAGACTGTGGAAACCTTTACAGCAAAAATAATACTTGGCCATCCCTTTGTTATGCTCACAATCAATTGATCACTGAGTGACAATATAAATTGGTTTTCAGTAGCCATATTAGTCCATTTCAGGAGTAACAAACACTAAATATAGCTCACAGGCATCTGGACTTGTTTTATGATTACTTCATGTCAGTGGCTAAAAAAACCCACAAAAAACATTTTTGCTCCTCAGTGCTTCTCCTTCCCATAAATACTGCTGCCTCATAGGGCTGGGCCAAGATTTCCCACTCCCTGAAATGAAAGCAAAATGCTTCCCCACTATCATTACAGAAGGTAGGAAGAATGACAGTTGATTCTTACTTCAATAGTGGCTATCACCTGAGCAAGCTACTCTCGGTGCACAAGATAACTGGGTAGTGCACATAAAACCTTTCCGCCAAGTGTTTCCTGTCACTCTCTTCCAGGACCTCTACAGAAGGCAGCCGCCTCACCTGGCCTAATATTAGGACCACCTTTGATTAACTGCATATGCCATCTTTACATCTGCACCACTAACATTGGTTCCATATTTCTATATGACTTCTCATGCAAATGAAGGTGTGTCATGAGCACATAATTGTTTTGATCAAAGACAGGGAGTGAGAAGCTCTGTAATTATTCTTCTGAAGCATCTACTTTGCCTCATCCATTCCTTGTTTCCCCCTCTTTCATACACTAGCAAATATGTGAAGCAGTCCGTAAGTGGGCTTTCCACATGAAATAAAATTATTAGCTTTTTTTGCCAGCTAATAGATATTTTGAACTAAAATGCTTGGGCTGCAGGCATGAGGCATCTTCTAGTGTCATTTCTTTTGTTAATAAGCCAGTGCAAGATACTTTTTAGAGTCATCACAATGATGGTTCGTGGAACTGCTATCTGAGGATCCCATTAACTACTCCATTATGGTTAGAGGGGGGGGGAAACAATTTTAGTCCTTGTGAGCCTAAATTAAATTTGGTTTTGTCACTGCCATTTGAAGAACAACCAGTCAAATACATAGTTGCTAGACTAGAGGGTGCTTCTCTGTAGCTAGAATATGGCAGTACATGAAATATGCAGGGTTGTCGTAGAAAAGAAAGCCATCCATAGCTCTAATGGGAGATATATTTAGCAACCACACAGACTTCAGAATGGAATCATCAGGAGTGCTGCCCATCCCACCGAATAAGCAGCAGCCCCAGCAATGTGCCAGAAAGGAGTGGCGCAGCTCGCGAGCAAAAGGGGCATGATGGAAGACTCTAAATTAAAACACAGAAAACCAGTCAAACCAAAGTACACCAAAAGTGACTGAAATAGCAAGCAATGTGCCCATCTGATCGTCTCCATAGGCTCTTCTCTAAGGAAAAGAAAAATGTATAATGCACGAGGGTCAATTCTGATTACAGAACAAGGCCCTTTGTTCTTTGTTGATGTTGTTTTCAAGCTGAACTCTAGAAAAAAAAGAATGATCTCTATTTATCAATTGGAGCTAGACAACCATTACAAAACCCTTTCTACAAAGAGATCTTATATAATCCATACCATAATTTCATTCCAATGTGATGCATTTTATTGATATTTTGCTTTGTGGGGTGGTGAGGGAAGAGGCTGGGGAAATGTTATGTTGGAATAACCCACCTAAACGTTAGAGATGCTTCAATGTTAACCTATAGATTACTGTTTAAGGCAACAACCGAGTATTTAGAAAACAGCTAGTGCTACAGACTCAGCGCTACAGAAACCCACACAAATGGATATTAACTTCTTTGCTTTATTTTTGTGCTATCATCTCGTGAGCCTCTTGCATGATGAAATGTTACATGAGAACTGTAACTTTCTCATCAGCAGGACGTCTGATTTTTGCGGAGCTCAGTGCCTGCCTTTTTGGCTCAGAAAAGTTCTTGGGTTTTTGTGCTCTGAGAATTCCTCCAGAAAACAAATGATGAATACAAAACATTACACTGCATGAGGCCCAGAAAGTGTTAAGAGTAGAAAACCGGATAGAGGAAAAGAAGTGAGGAAATCACTGTAGAGCTAGTTGGGAAGAGACTGAAAGTAAAACCCTCACTGTCATTTTAAAAAGACATTTTTTGTTTTCAAAACCAGCACTACTTATTATATGACTTGGATGCTGAATTTCAGCTGTATGTGGCCAAACCAGCATCAGTTTTCATCAGTTCTTCCTTTCCCTACCCTCAACTATTTATTGTATTTTGCAGGAGACTTTTAACAGTGATCTTTTCACATAGTGGTAACTATTGTGACTTTATAGATGGGAATAAAGTAGAGGATTTTCTGAACTTTTCAGCATCTGGGTGTTACCAGTCTAATCCTGGCTCAAAGGTTCAGGTCTTTTCTCTTACTTTTCCTCTCTGTTGTACTTGTTACAACTTCATGATGAGTACTGTACTGTTTTGGTTTTTTTAACAGAAGTAGTATCCTGAATGGGAGTAAAGTGTAATTCAAGTTCAACATGTCTGTCTGTCTGTCTGTCTGTCTGTCTGTCTGTCTGTCTGTCTGTCTGTCTGTGTCTGTCCGTCCATCCATTCATTCATTTATGCATCCATCTGCCCATCCATCCAGTCGGCAAAGGAACCTAGTCCAGAACCCTGCCAATTTTGGCTACCTGCTTCCTTGCATGGCATAGCCAAGGTTTGGCAAAGTACCAGTCAGATAATCCCTGCTTTTTAAAAATATCTGGATTCCTTGGTAACAGAAAGAGAGATGTCCAGGAAAAAAAACGACGACTATTTTAATGAACAAATTGTTGCTGGGGGGAGGGGACATTTATGTTCTACCTGAAGCATAAAATGCCTGTCTGGAGCATCCTCCAAATTCAAATCCTGATTTCGGAGATGAGTTTTCAACTGGGTCAGAAACTCATTTTGCCTGTTGATGTCTGTTGCCAAGATCAGGGAGCCCAGCTGTTGTTCAATGTCTTGCCTGTAATTTGAGAAGAAAAATGTATTGAGATTGAGCAAGGGACTGTTGATGGTTGCATGCATGCATGTCGTCCTTTCCACCTTGTCGGATTCGAGACAAACTACCAGAATAGGAATTCCCTTTTTTAGTGTCCTCTTCCATTCATCATCTTGCAGAACTACTTCAGATCCAATGTGTCCTCGCCATGGATCCTCCCAACCAGGGATAAGCCTCAGGTCAGCTTCGTTTGCACCTCATCCCCCAGAATGCCCCAACCAGCTTAGCAAGTAATCGTGCTAACTGGGGGATTCTGGGAGCAGTAGTCCAAATGTAAGCTGTCCAAACTCTGCACTGGAATAGCATAGGAAAGTTCAACATATGTTCCCAAACACCTTCCTGGTAATCCATTTCCCCTCACTTAATAGACTCAAGACTGGATTCATTGGTGGAGGAAGAGGACAACTGAGAACTTGAGGAGGAGGAGAAGGTTGAGACCTTCTTTGAGGCAGGAAATATTTGGGACTGGTAATGGAGACCAGAATAAGAACACACTCAACACTGTGGATTCAGGGAGTTGTTGTTTGAGCTGTTTGCTGTTTGAGTTTGTTTAAAACAATGGTGGGCAATTGTGACTTTCAGATGTTTTTGGAGTACACTCCCCAGAATCCTTTGCACAAAATATCAAAGAAGCACATCTGCCCAACCTTGGTTTGAAAAAAATACTGATTCTGGTACTGAGTGACAGAAGAGTAGAGGGGGAAGAGAGGGGCCTTTTGTACATACATGTACATGCATGTACCTGCCCTTGATGTCACTGCTGTTCCTGCTCTTGAGAAGCAAGGAAAAGGGAAGGAGGGAACCTGGGGCAAGGATGTCCAGGGAATAGGGCAGATGTCCTCTTCTGAGTGCTCTGAAGGTAGATGCTGAGGTGAGAATATCTGGGGGATTGGAAACTTGCATGTCAGGGATTTCAATTCAAGTTCAAGTTCAAGCCAGGTTTGGACTAATTCTTGTGCCCCAACCCAACCTGTTAAGATGATGGAGAACTAGGATTGATCCATGTTGTTGTTTAGTCGTTTAGTCGTGTCCGACTCGTCGTGACCCCATGGACCAAAGCATGCCAGGCCCTCCTGTCTTCCACTGCCTCCCAGAGTTGGGTTAAATTCATGTTGGTATCTTCAATGCCTCTGTCCACCTATCCCGTCCTCTGTCATCCCCTTCTCCTCTTGCCCTCATACTTTCCCAACATCAGGGTCTTTTCCAGGGAGTCTTCTCTTCTCAAGAGATGGCCAAAGTACTGGAGCCTCAGCTTCAGGATCTGTCTTTCCAGTGAGCACTCAGGGTTGATTTCCTTCAAAACAGATAGGTTTGATCTCCTTGCAGTCCAGGGGACTCTCAAGACTCTCCTTCAGCACCACAATTCAAAAGCCTCAATTCTTTGGCAGTCAGCCTTCTTTATGGGTCCAGTTCTCACCTCCATACATCTCTACCCGAAAAACCATAGCTTTGACTATGTGGACATTTGTTGGAAAGATGATGTCTATGCTTTTTGATGCTGTCTAGGTTTGTCATTGCTTTCCTCCCAAGAAGCAGGCATCGTTTAATTTCGTGGGTGCTGTTACCATCTGCAGTGATCATGGAGCCCAAGAAAGTAAAATCTGTCACTACCTCCATATCTTCTTCTATTTGCCAGGAGGTGATGGAACCAGTGGTCATGACCTTGGTTTTTTTGATGTTGAGCTTCAGATCATTTTTTGCGCTCTCCTCTTTCACCTTCATTAAGAGGTTCTTTAATTCCTCCTCACTTTCTGCCATCAGAGTGGTATCATCTGCATATCTGAGGATGTTGATATTTCTCTTGATCCCAGCTTGGGATTCATCCAGTCCTGCCTTTCGCATAATGTATTCTGCCTATAAGTTAAATAAGCAGGGAGACAATATACAGCCTTGTTGTACTACTTTCCCAATTTTGAACCAATTAGTTGTTCCATATCCAGTTCTAACTGTTGCTTCCTGTCCCACATAGAGATTACTCAGGAGATAGATCAGGTGGTCAGGCACTCCCATTTCTTTAAGAATTTGCCCTAGGTTGCTGTGGTCCATACAGCCAAAGGCTTTTGCATAGTCAATGAAGCAGAAGTAGGTGTTTTTCTGCTTTC